GGATGACATTTCTTTTAGTTGTTGGCATGTAGAAATTTCTACAACATTAATGCTTCTCCTTCAGTTAAAATTTGCTTTATAAAGCATTTCAGATTGGGGTTGACTTTCTTAAGAATGTCATAGTATAAAATTATGCGATAATTATTTGACTACTGTACAGCCATGTATGCCCTCTGGGAGCCTAACTTCTTGCCTCCATAAGATATTTTAGGTCAGTGGTCTTTGCACCCTTTCAACTTGGTGGTAAATCATGGACCATTGAGTAGCTCACATGCAAATTGCATTCAGCTAATTTGCTGACTGTCCAATGATTTTAATCAATTAAAATACTTGACAGTGAATTTTCTATCATGGGAATCTGCAGTCTGTGAGAGTATGAAAATAGAAGCTTGTCAGAAGAGTTTTGGTCAAAGTCTAAGAGTTTAATCCTTTCAGTGATTGATGGTCAGTTCTTTAATATAATGGTGGCAAGGATGATCCAAATGGCAGATGATTTCTTCACTGATGTATGGTCTTACTAGTTTAAAAATAGTGACAGAAGTGGAAGATCTGTAAAAATAGTGACTGATATATCGTCAGTTTTTCTAGGGTTTTATCCAAAACTCGTAAATTAAATGTTTGGTAATTAGGGTGTATCTTTAGCCAAACTGAGTTTTGGAGCTCCAAAGGGAAAAAGGACTTACTATGAGCATAAGCACTCTAGAATGCTTGACACCCGTGTTAGACACCAAGACTTGTCAAACACTTCTTGATGCTTGTTTGTAGTTCACAACATTTAGAAGTCTTGTACCATTAGCGCTTATTGTATTAAGTATGTGTATAACACTTAAAATTGTTCTTTTATAAGGCTTCTAGACATGTTTGAATATCAACAAATTTGTATGCCATTTGGCTTTTGATATATTTGTTAGTGTTACATATTGAAAGTACTTTTTGTGAGCAATTGGTAGTTGTATGTATGGTTAATATGTCTTCTAGAAGTTGTATATATGATAATCATAGATTGTTTATGTCATACAAAGTATTAAATTATAAGGCTTCTAGAGCACTTAAATTGTTTTTTATAAGGCTTCTAGCCATGTTGAATATCAACAAATATGTATGCCATTTGGATTTTGTTTTATTTATTAGTGTTACATATTGAAAGTATTTCTGTGAGCAATTGCTAGTTGTATGTATGATTTTTATGTCTTCTAGAAGTTGTACATATGATAATCATAGATTGTTTATGTTATACCAAGAATTAAATTAAAATAACATATGAAAATGTACAGTGTATAGTCCGTGTTGTGTTGTGCCCTAAACTTATAAGATTTGCCATGTTGTGTCCATAGCATATCACATCTATGACCATTCTTCACATCTGACATGAGATTAAGTTAATAAATATGCAATCTAGAACTGATTTTTCTCTCCTTATTTCCTCTAATTACATAGTTACTGTAAATGAATTTTATATTTTGCAAATCTCTAAACTTTGAGAAGTTATGCAATTTTGTCAGGACTTTGTGAGGGTTTACATTGAAACGCATCACAAATATCTTATCAAAATGTTGTTAGAACGATACTGCACATCATGCAGCCTAACAATTGTAAATCCATACTGTAGATTACTCTTTGAAGAAAAATCATAATAATTTAATCTTTTTTCATTTTTTTACTGATTTAGTGCCTAAGCTTGCAATTATTTTATTGTTTTCTTCAATTTTTTTTTTGCTAAACTATCTACATTCAATAGAAGTCCATTTCTAGCTTATGCAAAATTGCAAGAACTGTAACTATTTAAAGGAAACCAGATTTATAACATTTTTAATTTCCATGTTGCTACACAAAGTGATGAACACTGTAATTTTTAGTACTTTTAAATGCTTTCACTTTCCATTCTTGTGTGCTGGTGGGTTGCTACCATCAGTGATCCAGGAAACACACATTTGAGGCCATGAATATTTTTGTTAGATTATACTTGCCTATAATTACAGCACTTGATGCTTCAACTCAAGTTAATTGGTGAATAGAGTTTCACTTTATAGATGACTTGTAATTAGCACTTGAATGGTTATTATTTTGTCAAAAGTTTCTATAATCAGAATAATCTAGTTGATTTCTCACCCAGAATGTTTGATCTTGCTACTTTGCATATCTCTTGAATTGTGTTGGGTACCCCAAATAGAAAAAGGATGACCCTTTGCACAGGGCTCCCACCAATGCTGGGCTTGAGGAGGGTCAGACATCAAAATAGAGCTTAATATGAACCTAAATAGAAATAAAACGTTAGTCACTTACTTAAGTTTCTTTTTATCAATCTAGATTTTATTTCTCAAGTTGTTCATCTTTCATGATTTGTGTAAATTATAGCAAGGATACTGCAGAGAAAATATTGTAATAAACTATATTTCATGTTTCATTGGCACTTGATATTATTGTACATACAATCCAATTGGCCAAGATTTTTTTATTCTGCTGCCTCTGCCATTGATTTCTACATAGAAAGTAACATGTCAGTTATGTGATAATTCTATCCACTTTGCAGATAATTAAAAGAGCAAATGAATCAGGGGAAGATCCTTTAAGTTTGAGTCGTCGGTTCTCTGAAGCATTTTTGCAAGATGTAGCTGAGCTTCAGTGCCTGCCTCCAACACTTGAACCACGTGTTTCTGATCATATAGAGCAGATAAAGGATATGATAACTAAGGTATTTGATGCAGTACTGTAAATATATGCTCGACTCAATTTGAAATTAAGAGATAAGTTTGTCTTTTGTCTTGTAGTTGATAAATCTGTCTTGTAGTTGATCTTGTTATGTCATTTGTGAATTATAGTTTTTAGTTCTTTATTGTTGGCACCATTGGAGGATTCCACATAAAAGATGCTAGCATAAAAGATGCTAGCATTTAAAAGATTCCACATAAAAGACTTAGGTGCCCAATGACCTCTATTCTATAATAGCCTCTATTCTATAGATTTTGTGGCACCCCTAGCATGTTTCAATGCACTGAAATATAGTCCACCTTTATTCAGGACTTTTAAAAAAAAAATAGTTATGGATCTTATAGTTTTTCTATTCATAAGCCATGAGAGAAGGAATCTTATACTATCTGAAGAGTGATGTTAAAGACTTGCAGAAGTATGCAGATATACTTGTGGCCTATGTTTGAAGCGTGAGCTCATACCCATTCTTTAAAATATCAAAGCAAAATACTGAACAAATACAGGCGTTATATAATGTAATTGTTTCATATTGTCTGAGCAGATGTCATAGTTAGACAAATGAAGTAAACTTTTGGGTACAATAATCATGTATGATACCTTGTTTTTGTTCTCTCCCTTATGTAATCTCAGATATTGAATTTAGACACTCAAGGACATCATTTGATAACATCCTAATTTTAATTTGATAGAAAACTTAACAGTTATTTATTTTTTTTATGGCAGATCATTGAGAATGGCTATGGCTATACCATAGAAGGAGATGTTTACTTTTCCATTGATAACTTTCCTGATTATTGCCAATTGTCTGGACGAAAGTTAGATGATAATCGTGCTGGTGGAGGTGGAAGAGTTTCTGTTGACTTGAGAAAGCGAAATCCAGGTGATTTTGCATTATGGAAGGTGAGGTCATGCGTTATCTAACTTTTCCTCACTGTCTTTCTAGACCTGGCCTTTGCTCATTCATCCATGCTCCAATTATTGTCTAATTTTCAGGCTGCTAAGCCTGGTGAACCAAGCTGGGAGAGTCCTTGGGGCCCTGGAAGACCAGGTTGGCATATTGAATGCAGTGCTATGAGTGCCCAATATTTAGGTGATGCTTTCGATATTCATGGTGGAGGAAAAGATTTGATTTTTCCTCATCATGAAAATGAGCTTGCTCAGAGCCGAGCTGCATGCCCAGAGCACAAAGTAAGCTATTGGATGCACAATGGCTTTGTGAACAAGGACAATCAGAAAATGTCAAAGTCTGATGACAATTTCTTCACGATCAGAGATGTAATGGTCAATGATGTCCTGTTTATTTTATTTCTTTTTGTTGTACCTTAATTTTCTATTATCTTATAATCAAACTTTTGCTATAGATTATTGCGAGGTATCATCCATTGGCTTTGAGGTTTTTCTTGATGCGTACACATTACCGTTCCGATGTCAATTATTCTGACAGGCAGCTTGAAACTGCATCTGATCGCGTCTTCTACATATATCAGGTGTTTACTTGTGACTTGTACATCTGTGATGGCTTTCTTTGTTATATATTATGATTATGCTTTCTATATGGTTTCTAAAGGCCACTTCCACTAATCTCATGGATTTGTTTGAAATGTGTAGACACTCTATGACTGCGAACAGGCTCTTTCTCCATTTCGTCAAGAAAATATCCAGGGCCAAGTCCCAGCTGATATCAAGGAATTAATTGACAAATTCCACTCAGATTTTTTAGCATCTATGTCGGATGATCTCCACACTGCTGTTATATTAGATGATCTTATGGAGCCATTTAAGGCGATAAATAGCAACTTAAAGAAGTTCAAGGTATTCATAATATTTCTTTCCCCATCTGAATTCAGAAATAATGAATTCTTGCATTACCTTATTTACCTCATAGAAAATAACACAGTAAGAATGTGCTGTCCTCAGGGTGAACATTTTTGTTCATCGTAAATGTTTTCTTGCTTCATAACCGTGTTTGAGTTAATCATACTGAGTTTTTTCTATGTAGTTTAATTTGCATTTATTTTTATAGGGAAAGAAGCAACAAAAGCCACTTATTCTTACTCTTTTTGCATTGGAGAAGGAAGTTAAGGATGTTCTTGGCATTTTGGGCCTCTTGGGTAGTTCTTGCGCCGAGGTAACCCAAGTTTTTTGAACCGTTGATTTGAAGAGTTATTCACAGATTCAAAAACATTCTTTGTTTGCCTTGATAGGTTTTGCAGCAACTGAAGGATAAAGCGTTATCGAGGGCAGGGTTAATCGAGGAGCAAGTCCTGCAGCTGATCGAAGATAGGAACTTGGCAAGGAAAAATAAGGAGTATGAGAAATCAGACAAGATCAGAAAAGAGCTTTATGACAAGGGCATTGCTCTAATGGATGAACCAAAGGGGACTGTTTGGAGACCACGAGAGCCCCCTGAGTAGATTACAGAAGTCACCGATTCTAACACCGCCGATTGTCTATCACCTAATTTATGGGTGGTGAGATTTTGATAAAGAAACTTGCATATTATTGTGACATGTAAAAGTAATATATATTCGATAGATTGCTTGTATCTTAATTTCGAAAGTATTGGACAAGAGGACAATACTTTCCTCATTTAGCTGTCATACTCCGTTTATGACATTAACTAGTTGACATCGAGCTTGAATTTAATCATGAGATTTGATGTGATAAACCTTCCTCAATGTGTTGCTTTCCTTATAATTTTTCTTGGCAACAACATTGCAATTGACATCTACATTAATGTTTCTGATATGTTTTGCCCAGTGCTCATAGAACATAATCACAAGTTTCTCCCTGCATTGTTTTTGCATATTGAAGAGTTGAGAGCCAAGTTGGTCCAAAGCGATGCATCACTTCATATGCTCACCTACCTTCTCTTGTAGCTTTCATGCTCATAAACAGATATAGGTAGCTTGTTCATCTTAAAGAGCATTTGAAGTAGAAAGCATTTGTTGTATTAGCATATAATAGTATAATTAACATGGTCACATATTATGATGTAATAATTTAGTATATTATTAATTTCTATTATCATATTAACTAATTGTTGATGTTAATAAGATAAATTGAAGGCATACTTAGTAAGATAAAATGATGGTAAAATTTATTGGTCATTTAAGTAATTATTCGAATTTAGTGAATCAGTATCAGACACTATAATGCAACAATGTGCGAATATCCACATATCAATTTTCATATATAACTAATCTAATAATAATATTATTATTATTATTATTTTATTAATTTAATTAATATTAATATCATTATTAGTATTACTAATAATATATAATTATTAATAATATTAATGTACAATGTAAACCATGTTTTACTTGGTTAGGTTTGGTCAGCCGACCGACCCAAATGACGACGTGGAGGAGTCGTCTCTCGATGTTTCTACTCTATTCCCCATTATATTAAATATACGTGTGTGAAGGGGTATTCTCTCGGCGCTTCCATTGCGCGACTTTTGGGGAATCCATCGTCCTGTGTCTTCTGCTCCTCTCTTGAGAAGAACCCTAGAAGAAGGCTTCGCCTCTTCGTCGTCCGTCGCCCCCAATTCTCCAGTTCGCGCATCCGGGTCCTCCGATCGATTCGGCTGCCGCCGAGTCCACTGCTTCCCGGCTCGATCGCTCGTGTTCCGTAATTTTCTTGGATTTTTTTATTACTTTTTCTGCGCGCGTTTGCAGACGAATTTTGATCCCGATGAATATGTTGATCGATGATCTTACCCTCGACTTGGGACAGGGGGAGAGTCTTGTTACGATTGGGTGCCGCTACATAGGGTTTCTTGGCTGTTCTATTTCTGGCTAGAATTCGATTTGGTTTGGGGATTCAGTTTAGTTCTCTGTTGACGTGCTTGATTGGCGAGAAATGGGTTTGGTGAATTATATGTGGAGAATATCGATTGATTGGATACTTCCACGAAAAAATTAAAACAATCCTTGCTTCATTTTTTTTTTTTGTAATTACAGCGATTATTATTTTCTCGCTTTTGTGTAAGACATAGGATTTTTCTTGAACGGTAATTGGTTCTTACTGCTTGTCGATGCGTGATTAAGCTTTGATTGTCATGTACAGAGTTTTTTTCAGAGAAGATGCAGAGGGGAAGAGGCGGTAGGGATGACTTCTTTGGATTTGGGGATCCATTTGCTGGGTTTGGTGGCTTTGGCAGACCAGGGAGTCTGGTTTCGAGCTTTTTTGGTGGGAGGGACCCCTTCGATGATCCTTTCTTCACGCAGCCATTTGGAAGCATGATGGGCCCGAGCATGCTTGGTCCCAGCATGTTTGCTGGTCGAGGAAGCCTCTTTGGAGAGACTAGCAATGCTGGGTTTTTGGAGCAGGCTCCCCCTGTCAATAAGTCGAAGGGTCCAATTATTCAGGAGCTCTCTGATGATGATGATGGAGGAGAAGGAGAAAAGGCTGACAAGGAGCAGAAAGAGAACCCAAGAAAACATTCTAGGACAAGCAAAGAGCCATTTGTTCAGGATTCTGATGAAGTTGAAGGTGTAGATGCTGATCTGTTAGCTTCAGTATTTCATTATAGTTGGCACTGTGAACAACTTGATCGTTGTCAAGTGATGCAGGATTTCTTAGTTGGGTTGTATTTTTGCAGAAAAGAAGAGCAGGTACATGCAGTATAGGAACAATTATAACCAGTCTAATCCAATGCAACCACAAGGTCGTTCTTTTTCTTTCCAAAGCTCAACAGTCACTTATGGCGGTCCAAATGGAGCATATTACACTTCATCCACTGCAAGGAGAATGGGTGGTGACGGAGTGAGTAATCAGGATTGATGAACTAATGCACTTTTCTTAAAATAAAATGTTTAGAACATTACGTAAGTAATGATTGATGTTTGTCTTAATGCTATCAACCCATTTGTCTGTGACAGGTTATTATGGAGGAAAGCAAGGAGGCTGATACTACTACTGGTAGAGCTTCTCACAGGGTTTCTCGAGGGATCCGTGAGAAAGTATGTACTAACTTGATCATTTGTCCACATTAAATAATCTTTTAAGACTCTTAATTACATTTCAGTGGAATGTTTCGTGTACCTTGCTAATATTAGGCATCCTGGTCACTGTCTTTGTAGGGCCACTCAGTAACAAGAAAACTAAATTCTGATGGGAGAGTAGACACAGTGCAGATGTTACATAATCTGAATGAAGGTTTGTCACTTCATCGAGCTGCAACTTAGGATGATTTTTTTTTTTATTATTTCTTTTAACTGCAATTGGTTAAATATCAGATGAGATGCCTGTTTTTGAGGAAACTTGGAAAGGAAAGGCCAAACAACACTTACCTGGATGGAACCCGGGACTTGATTTGCCTGGTAATGGCAAGTTTAGTTTGTTGTTATTTCTTTATTTAACACGATTTGAAACTGAACTATCTTCAATTGTGCATCTGCATTTATCTATATATCCAGCTATTACTGTGGAATGCTTTTTTCTAGATGGTTAATAATCATGGTGTATCCTTGCTAATAGCCTGCATAAAGTGGGGAGACAAGTATATTCACCTTTTATGTGAAAGTTTCCTCCTGAGTTATGTATTGGGTGCTATGTCGGATTGCATGACAAGTAACTAGTGCCCTCTAAGTTATTTTTGTTGAGTCGATAGCTATTCAGTTATGTTTGCGTACATATTTAACTTGTGCATTTGATACAAAGTGTTCTGTGTATCAATGATACATGTTATCAGAACCCAACATTTTTGGAGATTGCCATGTAAGAAGTCTGAAAAACCAATAGTTCCTTTACATCTAGAAGTATGTGATGTAAAATTTTTTGCCAAGTATCTAACTAGCTCCTTTATATCTAGAAGTATGTGATGTAAATTTTTTTGCTAAGTATCTAACTAGCTAGGCGTGCAAACTGTTTCTTGTATGATTTTTAATCAGGCATTTGCATTGTTCGATTCGCTATTATATGGTGTTACATGACAGTGTCCCTTTGGTTCCTTGAATTAGCATACCTTGGTTGAAGTCACAAATATAGTGTCTTTGCTTGTAGTTTAAAGGTTGCCTACACTGATCATATAGACCTCCATTGGAGGGAGACACATGCAATAGATTAGTGAGCTTAGGCTGAAGTCACAAAAATAGTGTCTTTGCTTGTAGGTGTAAGGTTGCATATGTTGACCATTCCTAGACTCTGTCTTGGAGGGAGCTACATGCAATATATTGCCTCTTTGTACCTTGGCTTCCTAGGGTTTTGGCTACATAGCTTTTGTTTATATAAGAGGGATATCTTAAATGTAGTTGATATTCAATTAACTTCTAATACTAAATATCTTGATCAAGGCAACATTTATTATCAAGAAATAGTAGAAGTGGATAAGGAGAATAGTAGCGATAGCAGTAGTTGTAGTCAAAATTGAGAAAATACAGGAAAGTAATGATATAAACCAATGAAAAGGGGGAACAGCAGTTGTAGGAAGAAGAGGAAGAACAAAAAAACAAAAAGAAAAGCAGATGCAGTGAAGACAAAATATGGTTTAGATTTATATCTAATTATTTGTAATGGAGACATAATTGTTTATGTTGATTTTTCCTACTTTCTATTGATTTAATATATTAAAAGGCCTTCGACATGCATCTTTATGTAGTTGGATGTCTTTCTCTAGTAGTATGACAAACTGTTCATCGAAGCCAACAAAAGTTATAATATTTGTCAGAAACTTGCTGAGACTTGTTGAAGAGATCAATATTTTAGTTCGCTACAAGTTTTCTCTTTCTAAATGGTAGTACTCCTAAGATTCTATTTGGTTACATTAGGAAAAATGGAAATATACTGTGGTAGATAAGTATAAATTGTTTGGATTGCAGTAAAATGGTTTGAAATTTGTTTTTGACTTAGTTTATTATTTGTGAAATATAGAACTTTCTTTCTTCTTTGAATGATGTTGAAAGTCACAGAAAGAAGAGTTTGAAAACAGTTGTATTTATTTTAGTTTTAATTAAATCAGAAAGAGAATTTGTAACGTGCGGTTGGTTGAAGGGAATAAAACTTCTTTTGTTTGATTGTCCTTTATAATGACTTTCTATGAATGCCATGCCTTAGGTTGTATAGAAGGGTTAATGTAATGAAGTTTTTGACGGAATTCATTTTAGGTCAAGTCCTCTTTGGGTGTGTATGCAGCTTATTTAACATTGAATCTCAATAGCATTTCTATGCCAAACTATGGAAAGATTGGTCTATCATAAACTAATAAGGCAAACATTCAATATGAATCTCATGTACACAACAGGTTTTTTAAATTGGTTTATACGTTTGCATTTTTTAGTACATCAAATTAACATATCTTGTTGACAATAATATAGCAATGCACATGGTTCATTGGTTTTGTTGAAGTGGGAATTACAGTATGTTCCACCATTAGTATGTGGTTTTAGTACCCTGTGCGTCAGTCAATGAATTACCACGTGAAATTCTGCCTACTATTTTTAGGTAATGTTGACCATAGAGGTCAATGCTGGACGTTAGAGATTTTAAACGAAGTAAAATGAACATTAAATTCCCAAAAGTAGATATTATAGGTTTCTAAGATGAGGTGGGTCGATTATGAAATATGGGTGGAGGGCTAGAGAGTGAAGATTTGACCTGCTTTTAGTTTGAATAGTGAAATTGCACTAAATAAAGCTCCACAGCAAGTAATATA